AAAAAAAAAAAAAAAAAAAAAAAAAAAAAAAAAAAAGGGGTTGCTCTTTGTAAATAACATTTACAATATTTTTTTATTTGAAACATCAGATTGAGACTACCTCCACGAGCTAAACGGGTTACTACCACGGATTTTTGTCATCCAAGTACGCAGAAGTTGTATAATAACCTTTAGTATAAAGTTTTTGTTTCACTATAGTTTTAAACCTCGTGAAAGGCAAATTTTGTATATCAACCGGAATCTTGTTATAGAAGCGTATACATTGCCCCTTAAATGATTGTTTGACTTTGTGAAGACGACTATCAAGAAAAGCTAGTTTATTTTTATTCCTCGTATTAATGTTATGTCTGTCACTATTTTTCATAAAGAAATTACTATTCCTTTTAACATAAATTATATTTTCATAAATGTATTGTGAGGCTAGTGTAAGAATGTTAATTTCCTTAAACTTATCTCTCAAAGATACTTTGGGGCCCAGATTGTAAATTGCCCTAACTGCACGTTTCTGCAGGACAAAGATTCTATTGATATCGGCGGCATTACCCCAAAGCAAAATGCCGTATGTCATTAGACTGTGAAAGTAGCTGAAGTAAACCAATCTAGCGGTTTCGACGTCTGAAAGTTTCCTTATTTTTTTAATCGCGTACACTGCAGAGCTGAGCCGTTTTGACAACTTACTTATATGGGGACCAAATTTCCTCATTAGTGGCGGAGCTGTAAGGCACGCTCACTTCCCGACGCCGAATGAACGGCGTCTCTCCAGTTCGAAAATTCCTATGCGGCCGGAGGGACCGGAAAATGTCAAACTCATCCTCTACTAGCTGTCCGGGCTAGTGCCGAAGATGCCAAGTGGCAGTGTCCTGCGACAATGTCCGGACATAGCCACCGACTTAAAGGGCAAGTCACGTACCCCGTGCGTCTCCTCGTCTCAGGCCCTCAACTAGACCGCAACTAAGACGCGTAAGCTGCGCGCGGGACGAACGCCCCGGTCATCATCTACCGGGGCAGACGAACGTGTTCGTCCCTGCATATAACAACAAACCCCGGCGAGTCCATACTCAAGTCCGGATCCGCCAGAGACGTCCTGAAGACGTATCACTGGCGGAGGGCTTGGTCCGGACGCCCACCGTACCCTGGTCTTGCCGTCAAGCCCATAGTCTCTCCGGAAAACCCTATCTCTCGGGACGGTAGATAGGGTCTCTGTCGTACAGTTGAGTATACGCACATATGACGCGCGTTTATAGCGCCGTAAACGCGCGTTCGTGAGACGCGCGTCGTCGGCGCTTATAAAATACGCCATGTGCAGGCGAGGGTTTAAGCCTAATCCGCCACGTTGGGCCAATGCGGGTTGGGGACTTCCCACGTTTTCCGAGGGTTGTGAACGTTCTTCGAC